GTAGTATTTTAAAACCACCTTGTTAAGTTTTCTGTATTTTAAATGCAAAAGTGAATGCAACTGTAATGTTGAGAAAATTAGCATTCAGAAGTAAAGGAATTCAAAACTTTAGTGTGCTACAGTAACACTAACTTTGCCACTGTATATTTTATGGTAAATATTTGACAGCTCAGCTCAGAGTATATGAAGGTATACATTTAACAAGCAACACAGACTGCTATTGTACATACATGTCCTGTATATGCAACAGAAGAATTTACATCCTTATAGAAAACATAGCATTTGAATTGCCTGAGTAACATTACAGTCTTCTTCTCCTTTTAAAGGGGGGGGGGGTGGAAAGAAATTTGTGGTAAGATGAAAAAGACTTCATGAGAGGTGCAGGTGTTCTGTACTTCCAGCCATGAAGCACTAATCACTCTACCAGTTTAACTGAGGAACAATGCATGCAACAGATAAACACCTCAGTCTAATAGCACAAAGGACATCACTATAGTAGTTTATTACAACTACCGGTAATTATATAGGATGGGATTTTCAAAAGCGCCTCAGTGATTTAGAAGCATAAATTCAATTGGAAGTCATGAGACTTGTTTCTAACCCACTGAGGTGTTGTTTAAAATTCCACTCTCTTTCAACGATATAATGACAGTTTCTATACTACAAATCTGTCTAATGTCTATCTAGGTAATTAAATGGTCCCCATCATGTTAGGTGCCTGAGCACTTCCCAACTATTAAAAAATAGAAATAACTATATATCTTTCTTCCTTCTCAGCCTGATGGAAAAATAGCTTGACTAGCAGGTAGTTGGTTTTTATATGTCTGTATGTTCAAGTGAAATGTGTATTTGTGGAACTTACTAAAGGAAATCTATGCTGCAGAAATTATTTTTTTATTATTATTATTATTATTATTATTATTATTTTAAATATCTGAATGCAGCGAGGCCTGTCATTCTTATGTGTTTCAGGAGTGAGTTCCATAGTGTAGGATCAGATTCTCTGCAGGTTGTGTCCTGTATTCAGGAGCCTCCCATTGGTGGCTGACTGGTTCATGGTTCTGATGAACATAGCTGTTGTGGGAAGTCATGGTTGCAGAGGGGGAGCTAATAGTTAGGCTCAAACAGGTGATGCTTGTGGGGGTCTGGACAGAGAACTTGAATTGGAATGGGTCAGTCCAATTGGACTGGGGAGTCAATGCAAAAACCAGAGCACTATGCAGTGTGCTCACAGCAGTTTGTGGAGTTAACCCTATGGGTGGCTGCATTTTATACCAGTTGGAACTTGCAAGGCATATGGCTTCATTTCTGGGTATGAGTAGCAATAATCAAGCCTGGAAGGCAAAAACACATGGATCACCATGGCCAGGTCTGTGTCCAAAAGGTGGGGCACAATCTTCAGGCAAGTTGCAGGTGGATGTGGGTTGCTGGGTTTTTGGTTTTTTTGTTGTTTTTTGCCATGGCTATTTGGATATTGAGAGTCCAATGCATAAAAGTAATTTTTCAATCATGTATACATTGTTTGTTTGACTTTTTTTCTTCTTAAATTTGCCAGGGGACTGTTTCCACTGAGCTACGCAGAAAGTTTTGTGCTTTCTTTTTTCAAATGTTTGATCAGATTTTGTTTGAACAATACAAAGTAAATCACTCTTTTGGTATAAGAACATAGGTGGAAAACATAACTTCCAAAGGAACCCTTTTGCGGAAGTTTTGCACATCTCACTGTAGGGGTTTATAAAGAAAGAATAATGCAGCTGTAAGTGTTCACTACCTGTGAACGCTATACTAATATATACCCGTGTGGTTGGAAGTATATAGCGGGAATTTTTTAACACCTTTATATGACTCAAGCCAATTTCTCTTCACCACATCAAAATTTACAGTATATTTTTAGAAAATACATCTCCTTCCTGTATCATTAGACATAGTTTAAAGTAACCTATAAAAAAAACAGACATATATAGGATCACTGGCTCCTTCTGTGCCATAAATGTTTCCCTGTGTTAAACCATAAGCTTACATGCATTACAATGGATGCATCAAAATGCTGAAATCAAGGAGTTAAAAATATTTAGGGCCAGAGTCCAATATCTTTACTCACTATGAGTAGCGCCTGATCCAGAGTAGTCCCATTGATTTCAATGGGACAATTTGTGGAATAAGATGCTATCCAACGTGGGCAGGAGTATAGAAATCTGGCCTTTCTAGTACACGTCCTTCAGTACCTTCATAAGATACTTTCCCCAAAAAGATATAGAAGGATAAGAAATAAAAAGCCCCTTCTAACAACAGTAGACATCAGAGATGGGAAATGACTCTTGGCTTTAGAGTCCATTTCCTTACTAGTGCAGCATTGCTCCCTATAGTATGTTTTTCAGTATTTGTCCTTTCCATTTGGGGCTTCCACCACTTCCCTTGTGGTACTACTCTATGGTCCTATATACCTCAAAGAATTTTTTTTTCCATATTGTCAGCCTAAATTGTCCCTATCTTAATTTATCACTATGCAATATTAAGTAATTTCCCCTTAACATTTATTTTTAAGTGTTTTCATGGAAGGTGCCAGATTTCTAGACTCAGACACTGAATATTTCCATTTGTCTACTGAATACACCTCTACCCCGATATAACGTGACCCAATATAACACGAATTCGGCTATAATGCAGTAAAGCAGCGTTCTGGGGGGTGGGAGGGGGCTGCGCACTCCGGCGGATCAAACCAAGTTCGATATAACTCTGTTTCACCTATAACGCAGTAAGATTTTTTGGCTCCCGAGGACAGCGTTATATCGAGGTAGAGGTGTATATACAGTGTAGGCAGTAGCGGTGCAAGCTTCCTCACTGATACGCCTCATATTCAACCTTGACCACAAGGGACCATCTGTGAGGGTGTTTCTGCCTCTAAGTCCATGCATCTTTCGTGGAAAGACTGCCAAGAAGTATGCAGGTATGATGCGAATATTTTCCCAGTAGAACCAGAAATAGTATCAATAATTGATTTCATATAGGCCAGCCCCAGATAATGACTTGACCACCCAGCCTGAGGCAGACTTAAACTGATGGCTTGGAGGTGAAAGTCTTTGCCTTGTTATTAATCCTCTGAGCTATCCAGTCTCCACTGTTTGAAGGTTCAGAAACAAGTCATATAAAAGATGAAAGAAGCAATCAGCTTTAGCACCTTTAGACAGTATGAATAGCGTTTGGGCACTAATTATATCTATAGTGAAAGATTTTTGTTTATTTTGTTACAGGTGTGCTACCATTTTGATTCTTGTCTCCTAATCCTATATGTCTACTTCACATTTGGAAACCTACACGTTTTTAGATCCAGCCTTCTCTCACTGGAGTGTTACCTATTAGAGAAAGGATAAAGGAGTGTCATGAAACAGCTTAGACAGCTCATGTAGTAGGAATTATTGGCAGTGATTTGTGAAGAGCCAAGTCACAATAATACTTCCACCCTGTGGGAGAGGTGGGATGGGAAAAGACTGTGCATCAGTGAAAGGTGTTCAGAAGGGTGATAATTTACGGTAATAATAGGGAAAGAGTAAGATGCAAACTTTTCCACCTAGATTTTCTCATTATGACTGCTTACATTTTGAGATAAGAAATAGAAGTGATCATGGTTAGTCTGCTATGTAAAGACTAGAAAAGGGAAAACACCATCAAGCTATAGGTGATCCCTTTTTCTGAGGCTGACCAAAGAGTGGGGTAAAAGGAAAATAGTCAATAATTTCAGGTTTCAGTTCTGGGCTCTGTCCCTTCTATGCTGCAGAGGTGAAAAGGGGAAAGCAGCTGGGAATCTGCCAGTGCAAAGTGGCATAAGACTGGATTAACAGCCTACACTGCTTCCACATCAAACCTTCAGTGTTGTGGCATAACGGGGGGTGGGGGGGAGGGGGGCAGAAGCAGTGTTAAGAAAGGGAGTTTTGTGCCAGAGTGCCTGAGCTCTGGCTATTCTGGCCTAGCCGAGCAGAATGTATGCACCTGTGAGAAGCTACTGAAATGTCTAAGGGCTGCTATAACTGACAATGGGAACCTGACCCAGAATGCAGGAAGCCCAAAAGTGACATAAAGCCCCACGCCCCAACCCACTATCTTCCTGGACTGCACCTCATGAAAGGCACAGCTCAGAACTAGATCCACTGTCTTCATTAGTTCACAGAATGGAACACACATGGGATACGTGGTAGAACACATCATGGCCGTGTGTCTTGCTAACAGTCTTACTATGTCAGCATTTTAAATTGAAATATAATAATTTAACTAGAAGAGCTAAGAAGAAACTAGTCCATAGCTGTACCTGATGTTACCGTCTTGTTATATCTCTATCTTAAAGGGACAAGTCAATTTAAATTTTTCATTTTATCTCTCATTTAACCTGTTGTTAGAAGTAACACATGATGACTGTAACTGAAAGAGATTCTCTGTAGAGAAAATGTTATTTATTTTTCCATTTAGTTTGCTTTCGGCATTTGACGGTATTTGTATGTGATCAGTTTAGCTATTTACCCTCCATAGATAGTTAAGCACCTATCTCACAACTAATTCCATACTGCACACCACAGTGCCCATGTAGACCCCCATTGACTTTTAGAAACTGACTAGATTTTACATTGAGAATGCCCCTTTACAACACGTTAAACTATTTTAAAAAATTAAGAAAAGAAAAGTAGTTTAAACAATTTTGGATGTATATGGTTAAAAGAAAATTGATTGGTCCCCGTATCCCTCAAGATTTGTATTCTTTAGTTGCATGTGACTTGACTGTCAACTATTGATAGTACAGTGTATTGTGGAATAGGTATTCTCATGTTCAGTCCTGCCCACTAGTTGATGCTCTATCAAGGGTCTGTGTTAATGCTGTAATTTTAATATTAAATATTTTTTAAAAGTAAATAAAATTTAATGTGTTTTACTTAAAAATGTATATAATATTTGGAATGCCTAATACATTCTATACAAAAATGCCTAATTCAAAGTATTCCTTATTCCTTTAGCTCCTGCAGAACCTTTATTGTGCAAATTTGCAGATGGAGGACAGAAAAAGAGACAGAATCAGAACAAATATATACAGAACGGGAGAGCGTGGCATAGAGAAGGCGAGGTGAGACTTGTAAGTCCTCCCTTCAAGCTTTAGTATGGGTGTGTGATGATGAATACTTACAAAAATGATAAGCATATAGACTTCTTGGCTTGGCCTTTTGGCATATTAAATGTGTTCCAGCACCTCTCTCGTGCCAGTTTGTAATCATCAATGCAAAGGAGGATTGGAATATTATACAGGAGGAATTGGATGGCCTTGAGGACTAGAGTAATAGAAATGGATGAAATTTAATAGTACAAGGTCATTCATTTAGGGACTAATAACAATTTCTAATAAATTTGGGGCTCATCATTTGGAAACAACAGAGGATGAAAAAGACCTGACGTATTGGCAATGACAGGAAGACTATGAGTAGCCAATGTAATGTGACCATGAAAACAGTAAATGCAATTCTAGGATATATCAGGGAAGGTATTTCCAGTAAAGATTGGGAAGTATTAATGCCATTGTACTGGTAAGATCTCATCTGGAATACTTTGTACAGTTCTGGTAATCGATGAGTCCTTGCAAGAGGAGACTAAGAGAGCTTTGCTTGTTTAGCCTAGTAAAGGGAAGGCTGAGAGGGGATATGACTGCTCTCTATAAATACGTTGAGGGAGTAAATACCAGGGAGGGAGAAGAGCTATTTAAGCTAGAGGATAGTGTTGGCACAAGAACATATGGATACAAGCTGGACATGAATAATTTTTAGGCTGGAAATTAGAAGAAGATTTCTAACCCGCAGAGGAGGGAGGTTCTGGAACAGCCTCCCAATTGGACTAGTGGGGGCAAACAATCTAACTGGTTATAGGACGGTGTTTGATAAATTTATGAATGGGATTTATATGACAGGGTTGACTGTGATAGTAAGGGACTGAGCTTGGTGACCCAGGAGGCCCATTCCAGTCCTGTGTCCCTATGTAAATGCAAAAGATGAAATCCTGATCCTCTTGAACTCAATTGAAGTTTGCAGGGGAGCAGGATTTTACCCACAATATATACATCCAGTGTAAAACTGCCAAAAAACATAACTTCAGTCATATATAACTAAACATTTTGTTCATACAGCATTGAAATGGGTTAAGTCATGTGAATGTTGTAAGTCAGTTAGGATTGAAATACAGTGCTGTACCTATTTTACAACATATGAGAGAAATACAGGGCAACATGCTGTTTTTCCCAATCACACTGATATCATAGTCTTTCTTAAATTTTAATATCCAAGATAATTCTTCCATATGCTTTTACTGTCTTTAGTAAGACAAAACATTTGAGGCTATGAAAATGTTCACATCTATCTTCTGAAGAACAGTTCTCCACATTCATTTTTACAGTTAATGCACCACAGGCAAAACACACACACACACCCCAATTTTTCAGATATTGCATTTCTCTCTTCATACTGAAACTCTGTATTCTGAGCCAACGTTATAGTTCAGTGACTCCTTTTACTATGTAATTACTTTCGCCTACTGTTAACCTTTCCCTCAGCACAGGAAAATAAAATATCGCTGATTATTTTTTTTACTAAAGAATAATATATTTAAAGAAGGATTTATGTAAACAATTTCCAAAATAGAGTTTTGTCAACTCTTCCATTTTTTATATATATATACATATATGTACATATTTATTTTTTTCCTTAAAGGCTGGAATGACGCTTACTTATGATCCAACTACAGCTGCTTTACAAAATGGGTACGTCAAGTGGTGACACTAAACAAAAGAATTTTCTGCATTATGAAAGATACATAGTTATTACATTTGTAGGGTTAATTTTTTTTAATTTTATTTTGTAGATTTTATCCTTCCCCATACAGTATTGCAACAAACAGGATGATCACTCAAACATCTATTACGCCATATATTGCTTCTCCGGTTTCTACGTACCAGGTTTGTACTTAGAGCTCAATCGCAGAATTGATTCATAGGGACTGATGCTTATTTACTAGCTGCTACATCTTTTTTTATGGGTCTCTACAAAGATGCTAAACTTAAATGAATAATAGCTATTAAATTCCATACAGGATTAGCACAAATGCTACATGAGTGACTAACAGGGTGCTTGTTTTGAAGTGCTGCTTATTTTATGTAGCACAGCAATGTAATTAGATGTAAGGGATCTTGCAAAGTAAAGGCTGTTGCTTGTGGTTACAGCTAAGGTATTTGTTGGCCACTTGTAGATTTCATATATAGTTCTCTATTGTCCTCCGTGGCAGTTTGCTGAATCCTTTTTGTGTCTGTGGTGTGTTTGTAAGAGAATACCTTTATTTAAAGGTTTCTTTAAACCCTCTTTGATTTGGTTGGCTGGCTTTTGCTTGAAGATTTGCCCATGCTGCTGGGGCTTCCTTTAGGCGTAAGGAGTCCTGAGAAGAGATTTAGACACTCACTACTCCGTAGGGGGGAGAGCTTGAAGAAGAGTTCAGATGTTTGGGAGAAAATCATGGACAGCCGTGAGGTCTAGGGTTACCATATTTCCACAAGCAAAAAAGAGGACACTGGGGGGGG